TGATCTGAAATGATTAAATAAGGAATGAGCTACACTAGCCCAGTAAAGACATCACGATATCTCACCGTCACGGAGGTAAAGGTGGGTAGAAAACACAAAAAGACCAATGGAGCATAATTTACAACAAAACCTTTTATCAATAATAAAACCCTTACCATTCACTTACCTCGGTGAAATTCATAAGACAATATACGAAAGCAATAACATCATCATCATCATGAAATCATATATAAACTGTATAACATAATACTTATCAAGCCTTTCGTAATTCAATCGTTACACAATATATTTTCCTCATTTACCAGCCCACTAGTATCCATGGGGATCCATAGGGGTCCCGCTACCCGTTAACCCTTAACACTTGAAGTCATATTCCAGGGCCGTCCCCATACCCCGTCCGGTATAGGGGCCAAAATTATAAACCTCATTACCCCGTCCGGTATGAGGGTGAAACGGGCCGTCCCCATACCCCGTTCGGTATGGGCGCCAAAACACATAAGATCTCCATACCCCGTCTGGTATGGGAGACCACAATCCCGGTAGGGTTCCCTACGGACCCGGTCCGTCCACCATCTCCCAGGATATCTAGTCAGGCTGACCACATTATACAATTACCCATTTACATAATCTTTCATTCTCCTTTCCCTCAGTCAGCATTATTAATCCACATACAAACAAGCAAAACGGTAATTTATGCCAAACAGACAACATACAGCATCAATATCCCAGTCATTCAATCCATAATCAGTAAAACAGTAAAATATACACACGAAACTATAAAATGAAAAACATCAAACCTCATATTGCATTTAAAACTGTAAAACAGGCCAAGTAACAGTTAACCGACAAACACACTATACTCGGGCTCCATTAGCGACCTTAAGCAATTTCACACATTCGTTGATCCATGAAATATCGTTTTATCATTTATTGAACTTTAATACCGTGATAGGAGATAGGGTGAGGGGTCCTTACACGTTTCGGGGTTCGAACACGGCTTCACAGTGCGCTTACAGGCTGTCCCTAAATTTCCCTGAATTTTTTCCGGGGAACTGAAACGCACTACTGGTACCTGCACGTGTTCCAAAAAATCCCAATTAGGCCCAGGGCCCCTTTCGGCCAATATCGCATTTCCGGCACGGCGACTCCGCCGTACTCCGGCGACGGTGTCGCCGCTTGCGGCGGCGATTCGAATCGGTTTGGCCGTTTTCGGCCGTTTCCGGCCGAATTCAGCCACACTTGCATCGATACTTGCAATTAAACAACTCTAGGGCCCTTGGGGGGCCAAAAAATTACGAAAAACTGAAGCTTACCGGTGGCGGTGCTCTCGGGTGCGGCGGCTCTCCGGTGAAGTTCGTGTTTTGGTGATTCGGCTCCGATCAACCTGTAGAGAAAAGAATGGTGATCACGGTGATATAAAAATTGCATTAAACGGAGGCCGGGAAGG